GGATGCCACAAAGATGATGCATGGGGTTGTTATGACCCCATTGCAGGATCTGGCACTTGAACAGACATCAATCATGTCTGTCCAGATGCCTCTGCAGAGCCTTCCTACCCTTAAGAAGATCAACACTCCTGCCTGTCTCAGTTAACAAGAAAGAAGTGTTTGCTAAGGAGGGTAAGTAATGGGGAAGACCAAACTCCTCCCTCTAAGCAATTGTAAATCCGAAATTAAGAAGCTACAGTTGAGGAAATGTGGAGAAAGAAAAAATAACAGCCCTTTATTTAAGGAACATATGTGTATAGATAATACAACAAAAGAACAAAAAAACTGATACCTTGGAGTTTTGATGTTTTAATTTTTTTATTTTTGTAGACCTTAGAAGTAGTTATGTAGTAAATGTAGATTTTAGAGTAGCAGCATATTATCCCTTTACCCTTAACACACCAGTTCAAACCCCTGTTACCCATTCCCATATCAATTCCCTAAATTCCATAGCCTGTTTAGTCTCTTTTTCAAGGTAGAATTGTAGAAGAACACCCTAACCCTACGGAACAAGATACAGCCATAGACCCAACAACCTTCAGGCCTAGAATTCTGGAAGGCCTCCAAGGACATTACGTGCTCTGAGGAAGATGAAGATGAAGAAGAGGGGGTCCCAAAACGCCCCCAGACCCAATTCCCAAGAGGCGTGGCGGGGGCAGAACCTGGGTGGTGGCTGGACTGGGATTGGGTGAAAATCATTATAAAAACTGTGGACATCTGTATTTCGGGAGCGCGCTGAGGGTATTCCAAAAAGCCTGGGGGCTCATTAAAACTTTTGTATCCTTATCTTATCTCTTACCTAATTTGGCTTGGAGTCTTTTTTTCCCCACAGCCATTTAGGCAACAGTTTTGGTGGCCCATACGGGGAATCGAGACCTGTGACTCCTCTGGATTGGTATTCCCTTTTGCAGGGATTTCTTTCCAGCCGGCATATCTTGAAGAATTCCTGCTCTGATCTTGGGGGGCCCAGCTTCTCGGAACCGCACGTGGAGGAGGTAAGATAAAGAACAAAACTCCTAGAGAATTTTAATTAGCAGCTGCGGGAAGGAGTTTCCCCCAGGGCTAGGGAATACGGTGAGGCTGGGAAGGGAAACTTGGACTTGGGCCCAAAAGTCAGTGTTTTCCCAGTCTGTTGGCAAAGGGATTTTTGCCGGAGTGGGCAGTGGAACTGCCCGGAAAGTTTAAGTTAGGGCAGGCAGGAGGATTTCGGGTTTCTTGTTGGCCAGGTGTGGCCGGAGAGGGGGGGACGCCTCCCGCTTGAAACTCTGTGTTTCTGCCTGAACCTGGTAGTGTCTGGATTAGACACAAGGTCTGCGGTGTGTGTGTGGCTGTGAGTTCTAGGTTAGATCTGTCGTTTTCCTCGTGTGTTGTTTGTTAACATGGGATGTACACAAGCTAAAGAGGAAATTCCAGAGGGAACCCCTCTTGCTTTGGTTTTACGGTATTGGGATGATTTAACTGGTCCTGAGACATCTTTAAAAAGGCGGGAGGTAGACTCTCTATGGATGTTTGGCCCTATACCGGGAAAATTAGAGGAATAGCCTGGCCGAAATTTGGCTCTTTTGAGGCAAATACAGTGTTTCATCTTATGACAATCCTTCATAAGGAGGAAATGTGGTCAGAATTGCATTATGCAGAATTATTCTACCTTTTCTTAACCCGTCCGAAATTGAGAAAGGTATATAAAAAGGACAAAGTTAAAATAGAAGCAGAACACACAGAAATGGTATTAGAGGAGAAAAAGAAAAAGAAAAATCGTGCTAAGCATGATCCTAAGGAGGAAACTAAACTTGAAAGCCCTGGAGATGAAAATCTGGACCTTTTAATTCCCCCAAATATGAGAATAGGAAGCCCACCCCCCGCTTTGGCTCAGGCTGCGGGCGCGGCGGGCGTAAGTCCATCAGGAGCGGGGGTAGCCCCTGGGGCGGGTCCTGCCAGCTCGGCAGGGACAGCTGGATCTGCAGTGCCGGGTTCAATTGCTTCGGGGGCCTCGGGGGCAACGGCGGGACAAGCTGGGACTGCTCCGGGAGGAGCGGGGGTCCTGGGAACTGCTGTTGGTGCTCCGGGACCCGCGGGGCTGGGGCCGGCTGCTCCGGCCGACGCGGGAGCAGCGGGAGCGGGGGCGGTCCACGCCCCGGCTGCCCCAAGAGTTCTGGCGCCAGCCGGACCGGCGCCGGCCCCTCCTGAAGGAGCCGAACTGGCCCCTCCCGAGACCGCGGAGCCGGTCCGGTCTGAAGCTGCGAGCTCCCTAGGTGTCGGTGATCGGGGGGCGATAGCCCCTTTTGGAGCCGGGGGGCCGATCCCGTCTGGAGCTGCGAGCTCTGCCGGTGCCGAAAGGGGGGTGGTAACCCTCCCCAGGACTGCGGGGTCGCTCCTGGCCGGGACTGCAGATCCTCTCGGTCACCGGGGAGCTGCACTGGCTCCCTCCTGGGCCATTCCGGGAGTGCCAGGCGCAGTTGCGGTTACCGCGGCAATGGGGGTGGGAGGTTCGAATCTCAGCACTGCGGGAAGAGGAGCGGGGGCGGTGTCTGCAGCCAGAGTCCCTGCCCCGGCTGACACAGGACCCTTCAGCTCTGCCATGAGGGGCGGGAACGAACCCGCCCCCATCCCTTCGGTACCACCCTATCCTACAGAGGAATGGGGGAGCCAGGGTTTAGAATTACAGCAACGGGGGAGAAGCAGGTTAAGGAGGAGCAGTTCGGTTCCTCCTATCGACAAGAGACAAAGATGGGGTCTTCCCCCTTTTGACCCCTCGAGCACAAACGTTAAGACTCGGGATAGTGATTTTTCTGATACAGGCACAGAAGCTTCTGAGGATGAATCAAATGATAGACTGGGGAGGGGGGAAGAGAAACCACTTATAGTAAGACCAAAGACAGGGGGAAGAAGAGTACAAGAAGCTCTGTCAGACCCCAGTCCTGTGGCTAGTAGGACAAGATCACAAAAGGAAAAGCCTACAGTAGAAGCCCGTTTAAGACAAACCATGAGCAACCAGGGTCCAGTTTTGATAAAAACTCCTTTTTCTCTAGGTGAGTTACAGCAGTGGAAAGCTTCAGTTGGAACATAGAGGGAAAACCCAGACAAGGTAACTAGGTTTATGAAAAGAGCAATAAAGACACAAAATCCTGATTGGGAAGATTTGGAAATAATGCTAGACACATTATTAGATTCTAGTGAAATAATTGTTAAGAAAGCTGCCCGGGATGAAATAGAGAGGCTCATAACATCTGGGTAGATGCAAGGACAACTGTAAGATGTGTTTCCCTCAGAGGATCCCAAATGGAATCCCAATTTACCAGAAAAAAGAGAAGCATTGAAACGCTATCAGGATTGGGTGATTTATGGTCTTAAATATGGAATTCCAAAAGCAGTAAATTGGTCAAAAATGTATACAGTGAAACAAGATAAAAATGAATCCCCTACAGATTTTGTAGACCTTAGAAGTAGTTATGTAGTAAATGTAGATTTTAGAGTAGCAGCATATTATCCCTTTACCCTTAACACACCAGTTCAAACCCCTGTTACCCATTCCCATATCAATTCCCTAAATTCCATAGCCTGTTTAGTCTCTTTTTCAAGGTAGAATTGTAGAACACCCTAACCCTACGGAACAAGATACAGCCATAGACCCAACAACCTTCAGGCCTAGAATTCTGGAAGGCCTCCAAGGACATTACGTGCTCTGCGGAAAATGAAGATGAAGAAGAGGGGGTCCCAAAACGCCCCCAGACCCAATTCCCAAGAGGCGTGGCGGGGAGAGAACCTGGGTGGTAACAGGACGGGGATTGGGCAAAAATCATTATAAAAACTGTGGACATCTGTATTTCGAGAGCGCGCTGAGGGTATTCCAAAAAGCCTGGGGGCTCATTAAAACTTTTGTATCCTTATCTTATCTCTTACCTAATTTGGCGTGGAGTCTTTTTTTCCCCACAGCCATTTAGGCAACAAAACAAACAACAGTCTTGCACCCAAATCCCACCAAAACCATTTAAGTACTTTTTGCCTTTCGGCGCAATTCTAACCACGACAAACTGTTGGATCTCTGGAGGAGCGGAGGCTGCAGTTGCACTCGGATGGCCGGCAGGGGGCGCTGTTGGGCTCTGGTGACCCTGGTGCGTGGCAGACAGCCGGACGGGGACCCCCCAACCAAAAGGGAAAGGAGAAGGCGGGAGGATAATCTTCCTGTGGACTCATGCTGTCAAAAGTTGCGGCTGGAAACTCCTCTTCCTCATCAATGGACACAAGCTTGCCCCAGGACGGAAAAGAGGAGGAGGAGGAGGAAAGAAAAGCATCTTTTCCACCTCAGAAAAATTCTTCCACAGATTGGCACTTCCTTCTTTGATGAAATCCCAGGCAGTTTGGGCAGTGGGCAGAACAGTGCATCAGGTAATGGAGGAAAGCCGGGACCAAAAGCAGCCAGGTGACCTTGCTGAGAGCAAAAAAAAAAAACCAGAAAACGACCCCCTAGCTTTCCTCTTCCCCCTAGCCCACCCCACGAGTTCCCCTCTGACACCCAGTCCCTCCCCCTCCCCCTCCCCCGCCTCATCCCGAGGGAAAAAAAAACCCCAAACACAAAACCCCTGGGCTCGGGTAGAGTGAAACAAAAGAGTCCTGCTTTTTGCCAAGAGGAGTCGTTTAGCATATCACTAAGACAGTCATTAAGGTCTAGGCCAAGCAAACATCAAAACCTGAAAAACTCATCTTCACCTCAGCCAAGCAGTTGGTGTGAAAAAATTCACCAGAAGCTAATGAAAAAGGAAAATTATAACACTGCTCAACTTGGTGTCACCTGCAAACTTGCTGAAGGTGCACTAGATCCCCTCATAATGATCATTGATAAAGATATTAAATAGAGCTGGCCCCAATAATGAACCCTGGGAAACACCACAGGCGATTGGCTGCCAACTGGATATAACTCCATTCACCAAAATTCTCTGGGCCCAGACATCCAGCCAGCAAAGAGTATGCCCATCCAAGCCATGAGCAGTCAGTTTCTCCAGGAGAATGCTGTGGGAGACAGTGCCAAAGGCTTTACTAAAGTCCAGATAGCCAACATCCACAGCCTTTCCTTCATCCACTAAGTAGGTTACCTTGTCATACAAGGAGATAAGGTCAGTCAAGCAGGACCTGCCTTTCCTAAACCCATGCTGACTGGTCCTGATCCCCTGGTTGTCCTGTACATGCCATGTGATCGCACTCAAGATGATCTGCTCCATAACCTCCCCCAGTGCACTTTGATACATTATGATGATCTGTTTTCTGAACTTGGCAATGTTAACTAGTAAAAATGGAGTAATTAACCTCACAGACTGCAACTAATTTAGAATTGGCCCTAAAACTAGGATGCAAATAATAAAAACTTATTAAAATCATTACCCAGTAAATGGTTTGTATCTTCTACAGAGCTGAATGAAACATGGAAAAATCTATTATATTCTGTTTGTTAGCTGATGGACAAGCATGACATATTTGTCTTGAACATTAATATGAACAACTTTAGTGGGAAGTTTTATTTGGATTCTAGGAAATTTGATGACACTAGGGGATTGTTTATATTTAGATAATTGCATAACTTTTCATTTAAAAATGAAAAATACATTAGATTTTGTAGTGATTTTCCCTCCTCTTATGTTTTCCCATTATATTCAGTTGAAAACAAGTGCCATATCTCTTTGGAGAAAGATTGAATGACATCCCACTCATAAAATCATTTGGATGGAACATTTATTAAATCAATCAACAGCTAAAAGGTTGTGACTTGTCCCATTCCCAATATTTGTTGAAGAGCAGTCAAGTCAAAGGCATACTTTAGAATAGTTTGATGCACAGGAACAAGAGGGGAATCATTTTTCACCTTGTAATTCCTTCTGTTGTTCTTAGTGGGAACCTGTAGAGGGATTTCATGGTAGACCTCAGTGCTGTCATGTGCGGTGATTCACCATCTTAGATTTTTGTTTTTCTTGTATAAGGCATCAGACTATACTGCTGAAGAGGCAAACAATGCTTAATACCTGGTTTTGCACTTTAATATTAGTTTCTGGATGTGAGTTTGGGGATTGTTGTGGTTTTTTTGTAATTGTATATTCCTGCCCCCTTAAAAATTGCACGGTCTCACCTTCACTGTTGTAATTACTGCCTTTCATCCAAATATGACAAACATTTATAGGAAGGTGCTTGAAACAAAATATAATGTCCTTCTAAATTCCAAATCTTTCATCTTATGAACTGGATTAAAGGTACACTGTTCAACATGTCACAGCATCATCTAGCATCTATTCAGAAGCTACCACTAGGTCAAGAGATATGGAGATGCAGCTCTAAAAAGAGCATAGAATCACAGAATAAAGTAGGTTGGAAAAGACCTCTAAAATAATTGAGTCCAACCTTTGACCTAACACCAACCTCATCTACTAGACCATGGCACTAAGTGCCACATCCAGTCTCTTCATAAACACCTCCAGGGACGGTGACTCTACCACATCCCTGGGCAGCCCATTCCAGTGTCCAATCACTCTCTGTAAAGAACTTCTAATGTCTAACCTAAACCTCCCCTGTCACAGATTAAAACTGTGCCCTCTTGTCCTACTGTTAGTTGCCTGGGAGAAGAGACCAACCCCTACCTGGATACAGCCTCCTTTCAGGTAGTTGTAGAGAGTGATAAGATCTCCCCTGAGCCTCCTCTTCTCCAGGTTGAACAACCCCAACTCCCTCAGCTGTTCCTCATAGGACTTCCAGTCCCTTCCCCAGCCTTGCTGCCCTTGTTTGGACCTGCTCCAGGACCTCAATATCCTTTCTAAATTGAGGGACCCAGACTTGGATACAGTACTTGAGGTGCGGCCTCACCAATGCTGAGTAGGGAGGAAGAATCACTTCCCTGCTCCTGCTGGGCACACTGATCCTGATACAGGCCAGGATGACATTGGCCTTCTTGGCCACCTGGGCACACTGCTGGCTCATGTTCAGCTTCCTGTCTATCAGAACCCCCATGTCCCTTTCTGCCTGGCTGCTCTCCAGCCGCTCTGTCCCCAGCCTGTAGTGCTGCAGGGGGTTGTTGTGGCTAAAGTGCAGGACCTGGCACTTGCCCTTGTTGAAACCCCATACCTTTGGATTCATCCCATCTATCTAGCCTGTCCAGGTCCCTCTGCAGAGCCCTGCTGCCTTCCAGCAGATTAACACTCCCCCCCATTTGCTAATAGTAGACTCAATCCCCTCGTCCAGATCATCAATAAAGATATTAAACAGGACTGAGCCCAACACTGATCCCTGGGGGACACCACTAGTGACTGGCCGCCAACTGGATGCAGCACCATTCACCACCAGCATGCTGTAGCTGACAGGGAGTGACAATTACTTGGAGAACAAATAGATTACTTTTTTCCTATTTCAAGGATATCATCCAGAGGGCAGGTGAAACATGCCTGATGACATGCCTTTGTATATTGCTTTCACTAGAAAAAAAATAAAATCTTTTTTAACTGTCATGCAAGAATAAGTCCTTGGCATCTCTTAAAGTTCTGAGAATCTCTGAAAAAGATTCTGTTCAAAATCCATGGAATGTGGAAAGTCTGTGACTGGACTCTATGAGTCAGGTTGGACTCTCCAGTGAAATCAATATTTCTAGGAGCAGTTGTCATTTTGTAACAGGAGCCTACTGAAAATTTACGTGGGATACTTGACTCTTTGCAGAGTTACAGATAACTGTATAGTTCGATTAATGGGATTTGGTTCAAATCAGCAGCATTCACGTTAGCAAAGAAGTGTCCCTGTAGAAAATTAATTACTGGACAAAAGCCAAGCTTACTCTATCTGTTCTGTTCTTTGATTCTGTAGCTGAACTTTTATGAATGTTGCTGTCCTGCTGTAGTGGGTTGACCCTGGCCAGATACCAGGTATCCACTAAAGCCATTCTCTCACTCTCCCTCTGCAACTGGACAAAGGAGAGAGAAAAAAACAGCTAAGGATTCATGGGTTGAGATTAACAGCTGGGAGAGGTCAGTTACTGATTACCTTCACAGGCAAAACAGACTCAAAGTGGGGATAGTACTTAAATTTATTACTAACAGGATAAGAGCCAAAGAGTGAGAAATAAAAAAGTCTTAAAAACACCTTCTCCCCACCCCTCCTGCCGTGTTCTCCCTCATTCCCCCTAGCGGTGCAAGGGGATGGGGAATGAAGGTTACGGTCAGTTGTTGTTTCTGCCACTGCTCAGGGAGAGGAGTCCTTCCCCTGCTCCCGTGGGGTCCCTCCCATGGGAGATATTCCTTGATGGACCTCTCTGGCATGAGTCCATCCCTCAGGCAGCAGTTCTTCCCAAATTGCTGTCCCATGGGTCACTTCTCCATGGGGTGCAACGCATGTCTCACAGTCATGGATAACCTGAGAGATAGTATCCATGGTTAGATCCACCCCTCAGTCTCATGCCCATCTGTAGGTGGCATCTCTGCCTTGATGGCCGGCAGCATCATGAGCCCATCGTGCTAAGAACAGTTCACCTTTGTGCTGCCAGTCTAGGTCCACCTGTGACATCTCAACTTGTGCAGCTCGGTCTGCCCATTCATTGTTGCGATGTTCTTCATTGGCTCGATTTTTGGGCACGTGGGCGTCTACGTGGCGGACCCTCACAATCAGTTTCTCTCCCCGGGTAGTAATGTCTTGCCATATATCAGCGGCCCAGATGGGTTTTCCCCTACGTTTCCAATTGGTCTTCTTCCATCTGTCCAACCACCCCCACAGGGCATTGACCACCATCCATGAGTCCGTGTAGAGGTAAAGTTTTGGCCACTTCTCTCGTTCAGCAATGTCCAATGCCAACTGGACAGCTTTGAGCTCTGCGAATTGGCTTGATTCACCCTCTCCTTCCATAGCTTCTGCAACTTGTCGTGTGGGACTCCATACGGCTGCTTCCCATTTACGTTTCATCCCTACAATACGGCAGGAACCATCAGTAAAGAGTGCATAGCGTATGTCTTCTTCTGGTAGTTGGTTATATGCTGGGACTTCCTCTGCCCGTACCACCTGCTCCCCTTCTTCTTCCTCTGCTAGACTAAAATCCTCACCTTCCGGCCAGTTCGTGATGATTTCTAGGATCCCAGGGTGATTTGGGTTTCCAATGCGGGCGCGCTGCGTGATCAGGGCGGTCCATTTGCTCCAGGTGGCATCAGTGGCATGATGAGTAGAGGGCGTCTTCCCTTTGAACATCCAACTCAACACTGGCAGCCGAGGTGCCAGGAGGAGCTGTTCTTCTGTGCCAATCACCTCTGAGGCAGCTTGTACTCCCTCATAAGCTGCTAGGATCTCTTTTTCTGTTGGAGTGTAATTGGCTTCCGATCCCCTGTAGCTTCGGCTCCAGAATCCAAGTGGGCGGCCTCGGGTCTCGCCAGGCACCTTCTGCCAGAGGCTCCAGGAGAGGCCCTTATCCCCAGATGCAGAGTAGAGCACATTCTTCACATCTGGTCCTGTCCTGACTGGCCCAAGGGCTACAGCATGGGCAATCTCCTGTTTAATCTGTTCAAATGCTTGCTGTTGTTCAGGACCCCACTGGAAATCATTCTTCTTGCGGGTTACCAGATAGAGAGGGCTTACGATCTGGCTGTACTCGGGGATATGCATTCTCCAAAAACCTATGGCACCCAGGAAAGCTTGTGTTTCCTTCTTGCTAGTTGGTGGGGCCATTGCTGTGATTTTATCGATGACTTCAGTCGGGATTTGACGACGTCCATCTTGCCACTTTACTCCCAGGAACTGGATCTCTCGGGCAGGTCCCTTGACTTTACTCTTTTTAATGGCAAACCCAGCTTCCAGGAGAATCTGTATGATCTTTTTTCCTTTCTCAGAGACCTCTTCTGCTGTGTCCCCCCATACAATGATGTCATCAATGTACTGCAGGTGTTCTGGGGCTTCACCTTTCTCTAGTGTAGCCTGGATCAATCCGTGGCAGATGGTGGGACTGTGTTTCCACCCCTGGGGCAGTCGGTTCCACGTGTACTGCACGCCCCTCCACGTGAAAGCAAACTGCGGCCTGCACTCTGCTGCCAAGGGAATGGAGAAGAATGCATTCGCAATGTCGATAGTGGCGTACCACCTCGCTGCCTTAGACTCCAGCTCGTACTGGAGCTCCAACATGTCTGGAACTGCAGCACTCAATGGCGGGGTGGCTTCATTCAGGCCACGATAGTCCACAGTCAGTCTCCATTCTCCGTCGGACTTACGCACAGGCCAGATGGGGCTGTTGAAGGGGGAGTGGATCCTGCTGATCACTCCTTGGCTCTCCAGCTCACGGATCATCTTATGGATGGGAATCACAGAGTCTCGGTTTGTTCGGTACTGCCGACGGTGCACTATTGTAGTGGCAATTGGCACTCGCTGTTCCTCAACCTTCAACAGTCCCACAGCAGAAGGGTTCTCTGAGAGGCCAGGTAGTGAATTCAACTGCTTAGCAGCTTCTGTCTCCACAGCAGCTATTCCAAAAGCCCATCTATGTCCCTTGGGGTCTTTGAAATACCCATTCCTAAGGTAGTCAATGCCCAGGATACATGGGGCATCTGGACCAGTCACAATGGGGTGTTTCTGCCACTCCTTCCCGGTCAAGCTCACTTCAGCTTCCAGCACGGTCAACTGCTGCGACCCTCCTGTTACCCCAGAAATGGAAATAGCCTCTGGTCCCACATGTCCTGAGGGCATTAACGTACATTGAGCGCCAGTGTCAACCAAAGCCTTATATTCTTGTGGGTCTGATGTGCCAGGCCATTGGATCCACACCGTCCAATAGACACGGTTGTCCCGTGCCTCTACCTGGCTAGAGGCAGGGCCCCTCTAATACTGGTCTCTATCCTGCTCGTCACAGTTTTCCGTCTGCAAATACCGGCGGGAGGTACCTTCTAGTGGGTCAGATCCCTGCCCACGGGATACTGGCACTGCACTCACTTTCACGGACTTTGTTTTTCTCTGGTCCTTCAACTCTTGTACTCGGGCTGCCAAGACATGGGTAGGTTTCCTGTCCCACTGTCTCATGTCTTCTCCATGGCCAGATAGGAAATACCACAACTCGGTTCGTGAGGTCTGTCTACCCTCTCTAGCTGGGGGGCGCCCAGTACTCACTGGTGCCACCTGGGAGTTGTTTCTCTCAATCTTTTCTAGGATTTTCTCCTGTTGATCTTGTAATTTTGTAGCTATGGTAGTGAGGTTATTGATTGAAGTCTCCACGGAGGAAACGCGGGCTTGTAGTGATCCTTGGACCATACTGTCGTACATCTGAAGTTTATTTACTATAAACGCCACTGGCTCACTCTTTTCCCCAGCCTCCAATAATGTCAAGTAACTGACGTGTGCAGATGGCCCCATACGTATGAAGGTCCACCACATGGTTGGTGTACATCTAACCTTGTCAGGATCGTGATTAGCTTGCATATCCCTTCCAAACAGTACCTCCAACAGTGCCATTTCCCTTAGGCGTCGGATCCCCTCCTCCATGGTATTCCAGTTCTTCACAAAATGGTCTGCCTGCAAAGCCTCTCTGTAAACGAACCTCTCTCTCACAGCGTCCAGCAACCGTGCCCAGAGAGACAGGGGCTTTGATTCTCTCACAAATGCCTCTTCAATGCCCACATCCTGGGCAATAGACCTCAAGAACCTTGCTTCACTGCCATCAAGGTTTATGGCATCACCTGTGGAGTCCCAGACTCGGATCATCCAGGTCAGTATGGGCTCATTCGGGTGACGAATAACATCTGCCCATAATTTCCGGAGGTTGTCATACGATAAGGACTCAGTGATGATTTCTGGCTCCGGGTTGGCTGCCTGTGAGGGTCCTGCCTCCCCATCATCATCTACTGGGCGGGTTGATTTGGTCTTATATTTCCTCTTTTGGATAGGGGTAACCTCCATTGACTTGTTTGGTTCCTTGGAACTAGCCTTATCTGGAGTCACCCTTGTATCAGACCTCTCGCTTTCATCTTTTCCTTTTCCCTGTGAGGGCTGCACCATACCGAGCACCTTTTTGTAGGCAACGGCTAAAGCCCCACATGCATCTACCACCTGCCTCTCTATGGGTTTACCACGACCTCTCTCCCTCACAGCTGTTATTATCTGTGCAGGGTTTAGGAGTTGTTCGAGAGTGAACTTCCATGTTGTAGGAACTGAACCACTTTCTAGAAATTTACCCAGGTCCTCCCATGACCCATGCCATTCGAGGTTTTCCACCCCTGGGGCTGGTTTCTGTGCCCGTTCCTGGTAAATCCTGGGCCTAACTACGAATATTAGATATGACACCGTGGCAATAGATATGACACCTTGCACGAGAAGCCCCAAATATAAAATGTCTCTTACATCTAAAGAGAGTTTAAATTTCTCAGAGGCCATTGTATTGGAACCAAAGGGAAAATGTAAAATCAGAACTATGACAGCTGTTATTAGAAAAAAAATATTCCAGTCATTTTCACTCAGCTATAAAGGAGTTCTGAGTATATAATCATAATGAGAGACAACCTTATTTTTTATATTTCCTATTAGTTTCAATCAAAACTCAAGCACAAATGACTAACAGTGTTATTAACAGGCAACCCCCCCTAAAAGATTTTTCTGGTTTCTCCATAGTTGGCAGTTACAAATTCAAAATTAATTCAAAATGCTTTATTTGACACAAGAATTCACACATTCAGGAAGTCTACTGCTTGCATTATACAAGGAGTTAGATCAAACCAAAATGTGCAATCCCTACCCCCACTATATGTACTGGAAAACACTAAATAACTTGAACAGAGGTCACCATTTTTAAGCATTGTCCTGAAAAGACATTAATATCCTGTAAGTTATTGGTATTTTCTAAGTGTAGGAGACTGTATTGTAGCTTCCCAGCTGAAACCTAGCCCTAGGAAACCATTGATATAAAAGAGACAAAGGAACTGAAGGTGCTGAAACGTAGCTCTTGTACTAATCAGTGGTGTAGCTCCAGAAATAGTTTTTCCCTATGTAGTTGATACACAGCATATGTTTTTTATAATAGTAATTTGATCCTTATGGCTATTATTTTACACAAAGACACACATTAAATGTTTAAATCACAAACAATCTTACAACTTACAGTTAATGCATTTTAAAGCATTTAAACAAAAGAAGAAAAAAGTTTATTTTCCACAAGGAAGAACAATAGAAAAAATTAAATTGTTTTCCACATAGTTTTCTTAAAACAAAGTCCATAAGGACATATTCAGCACCCAAAGTTAATTTAAAAAAAGAAACACAACAAAAAAATCAAACAAAAATCCCCAACCAAAACCCAAACAGCCATAGAATTTAATCTATAAAGCAAACATTCAATATTGCACTTTGTTTTTCTAATGCTTAGATTTTACTTTTTCCTAATTCAGATCAAGATTCTATATCAAATATTGGGCTACAACTATGACCCTATAATGCCTCTGAACAACTAATAACAAGTTTAAGTGGGAAATCTTTATTTGATAAGGTTTTAGAATTTTTCACTCTGATCACAGCCTGTGAGGCAACATCAATTATGACATTGGTCAATTTTGTTTCATATATAGTTTTTCCATTATACTGGGATAAGTACTTCAATGCTATGTATATCAACAATTGTTCCCTTGTCTGTTAACAAAAAAGAAAAAAAAAATCAACAAATGCTTTTTTATGCCAACAATCTTAACATTTAAAATTTTGTCTGATTGGAGAGAATTGAAGGAAAGGACAGTCACAAAACTGGCAGCATAAGCCATCACCCAATTTCCAATTCTTGCTTATCAAAGACCAAACATTTGAACTGAATCACTTAAGATGTGAATCTCATTTTAATCACCCTGTCATCATTTTTGAAACATGAAATATCTTTCATGTTCTCATAAAGGCCACTTATGGAATAGCCTATTTTACTATATTTATGAAGCCTTAAAAATAAGGTATAACTTTGTAAGAATGAGCACAATACAGAAACATCAGCTTTCCCTCTCCCCCTCCCTTCTGTACTGTTTCATTGCACAAGGATACACATGATAACTTAGTTTTTAAGTAGTCAACATCAGACGTCTCAGATAATAGTCTTTGTTGCTGTTTTTTGTGGGGTTTTGTTTGTTTGTTGTTGTTGTTTATTTATATTATTTCTGAAAAGAAAATTTATGTTTACAAATCTCTAGTATAAAAACCACTGATCAGATCTATGGCTCCATCATTCTTTTCTTCTTTAGGATATGTTCAAGGGGTCAGTGCTTTTTCTATATAATTTCTCACATTCTAGATGAATGTATGTTTAAAGTTGTTCGATTTTTTGTTTGTTTCATAGAATCACAGAATATCTTCAGTTGGATGGGACCCACAAAGATCATCAGAGTCCAACTCCTGGTCCTGCACAGGACACCCCAAGAATCACACCATGTGCCTGAGAGTATCATCCAATTGCTTCTTGAACTCTGTCAGGCTTGGTGCTGTGACCACTGCCCTGGGGAGCCTGTTCCAGTGCCCAACCACCCTCTGAGTGAAGAATCTCTTTCTAATATCCAACCTAAACCTCCCCTGACACAACTTCAGGCCATTCCCTTAGGTTCTGTCACTGGTCACCAGAATGAAGACATAAATGCCTGCCCCTCCGCTTCCCCTCATGAGGAAGTTGTAGAGTGCTATGAGGTCTCCCATCAGTCTCCTCCAGGCTGAACAAACCAAGTGACCTCAGCCACTCTTCATACAGTTTCCCCTCAAGGCCCTTCACCATCTTCACAGACCTTCTTTGGATATTCTCTGATAGCTTAGTATCTTTCGTATATTGCAGTGACCAAAACTGCACAGAATATTCAAGGGGAGGCCGCACCAGTGCAGAGCAGAGCAGGACAATCCCCTCCCTTGACCAGCTGGTGATGGTTTGACTGATGCACCCTAGGACATGGTTGGCCCTCCTGGGTGCAGGGGCACACTGCTGACTCATATTCAACTTGCCATTGACCAGGACCCCCAGGTCATTTTCTGTAGAGCTGCTCTCCAGACTCTTGTTCCCCCAGTCTGTATGTACATCCAGGATTGCCCCATCCCAGGTTCAGAATCCGGCACTTGCCTTTGTTGAACTTCATATGGTTGGTGATTGCCCAGCCCTCTAATTTGTCTAGGTCTCTCTGCAGGGCCTCCCTGCCATCGAGGGAGTCAACAGCTCTTCCCATTTTAGTATACCTTCGAGTCCTGCATCCAAGTCGTTTATGAAGATGTTGAAGAGAACTGGCCCTAAAATGGAAAATTTTTGTTATAAATTGTTTGTTTTAAAGCTCTCAGGACTAGCCCAGGAAACAATCAGAGCAATTCTCCGCAAAAGAATTTGAGTATGGCTGATAACACTGATACTCTGGTCCAGTTTTATAATTGGTTTAGTCTTACTATTTTTACAGTCAGCTACTGGCCTCCAAACCAAGACAATAAGACCAATGGAGCAATATTTGGGTCACTTAAGTAAGCTTCGGGTCAACAGAGCGTGGTTCTTATAGGTGACTTCAATTACCCAGACATTTGTTGGAAGAACAGTAGAGCAGCTCACATATCAGCCATCAAGTTCCTGGAATGCACAGAGGACTGTTTTCTCACACAAATGTTAGATGTGCCAAGCTGAAATGAGGCACTGGCAGACTTGTTACTCACAAACCAAGAAAACCTGCTCTGTAATATCTCACTTAGTGATAGCCTTGGCTGCAGTGTTCACAATATTGCAGAGTTAGGGAGCCAGCTGAGCATGCTAAAGGTTAGTATTAAGACTAAAGTTTTAGATTTTAGAAGAGCAAACTTCAGCTTGCTCAGAGCTCAGTTGAGAGGGGTTCCATGGGAAGCTTCCATGGACAATAAAGGTGCTAGTGAGGGCTGGGAGTTTTTCCAAGAATGCTTCCCTGGAAGCACAAAAGCAATTAATCCCCTTTAAAGGTAAAAGAAGTAGGCAGAGCAAGAGACTCCCCTGGCTTAACTGCAAGCCTCTGAGTCTGCTCAAAACCAAGAGAAGCATACCAGAGATGGAAAAGCAGAGGCATACCTGTTGAATACTACAAAGGCACTGCCAGGGCATGCAGAGAAGCAGTTAGAAAAGCAAAAGTTCAGCTCAAATTGAAATTGGACAGAGATGTCAAAAACCACAAGAAAGGGTTCTTTGGGTATGTAAAAAATCAGAAACAGAAGGAAAATATTGGCCTGGTGTTAAACTGGAGAGATTAATCAGTCACCAACAATGCTGAAAAGGCAGAGATTCTCAGCACTTTCTTAACCTCTGTCTTCTTCTTCACCCAACACCAGTGGGCCCCAGGCCTTAGGAACAAAAAATCCAGGTTGATGCAAAGACAGACCTACTGTCAATGAAGAAAGTATGTGAACTGTTACAGGAGCTTGACCCCTACAAATCGATAGACCCTGACAATATCTACCCAAAGGTGTTAAGAGAGCTGGCTGATGTCATTGCAAGGTTGCTCTCCATAATCTTTGAGAAGTCATAGAGAACAGAGGACTTCCCAGGAGACTGGAATAAGGTTAATATCACCCCTATCTACAAGAAGGGATTAAAGGAGGATCCAGGAGACTATAGGTCCATCAGGCTTACTTCAGTCCCTGGGAAAGTTATTGAACAAATCTTCCTGGGGGCTATCAGAAGTCAAATGAAGCATGGGATTGGGAAAAGCTAGCATGGATTCACGAAGGGCAAATCATGCTTGACAAACCTGATCACCTTCTATGACAAAGCAACCTGCTCAGTTATGTGGTGGACATTGTCTACCTGGATTTCTCCAAGGCTTTCGATGCGATTTCCCACAGCCTCCTCCTAGAGAAAATGATGTGTTATGGTCTAGACAAGTAGTCTGTACAGTGGGTGGGGAACTGGCTGACAGATTACACCCAGAGGATGGTGGTAAATAGCTCCTTTTCAAACTGGCAATCTTTCACAAGTGTAGTCCCCCATGGATTGATACTGGGTCTGACACTGTTTAATATCTTCACAAGTGATCTGGATGATGGGATCAAGTGTACTCTGACAAAGCTCACCAATGATATCAAACTGAGTGGAGAAGTGGACACTTCAGAAGCAAGATCAACCTTGCAGAAAGACCTGGATAGGCTGGAAGAGTGTGCTAACAAGAACCTTATGAAGTTCAACAAAGACTCACCTCAGAAAATATAATCCAGGAATATAGCACAGGTTGGGATCTACCTGGGGGTCTTGGTGGACAACAAGCCGAATATGAGTGAACAGTATGCTGCTGCAGCAAAGAAAGCCAACAGGATGCTGGGTTGCATCAACAAGGGCATCACCAGCAGAGATAAAGAAGTCACTCTCCCACTCAGTGTTTGTTAGGCCTCACCTGGAATACTGTGTTCAGTTTTGGTCCCTGCTATGCAAACAGGATGTGGACAGGCTGGATAGGGTACAGAGGCCACAAAGATGATCCAAGGACTGGGAAGACCACCATGTGAAGAAAGGCTGAGAGAAGTGGGTTTGTTAAGCCACGAGAAACGAAGGTTTAGGGGAGATCTTATCACCATGTTCCAGTATTTAAAGGGTGGTTTCAAAGAAGATGGAGACTTTCTTTTGACAAGGAGTTACATGGAAAAGACAAGGGGTAATGGGTACAAGTTACTCCTGGGGAGATTCTGATTGGACACGAGAGGACAATTTTTCACAATAAGAACAATCAGCCATTGGAATAATCTCCCCAGGAGAGTGTGGGATTCCCCAAAATTGGACACTTTTTAGGTGTACTGGGCCATCTTGTCTAGACCGTGCTTTTGCCAAGAAAGGTTGGACCAGATGATCCTTGAGGTCCCTTCCAACCTGGTATTCTATGATTCTATGACAGAGTATCATAAACCCTGAAGATAATACAAAACACGCAAACTGAGCTGCTGCTTAGTTGCCATAGTTCAGACTTTTCTTGCAATCTGAACTATACTTTCTACTGGAGACTCATTTTATATATAATTTTTTGTGATTAGGTAACCACATATTATTTAAATAAAAACCAATGCAAACCAAACAAACCTTCTCCTTCCCATACCTAATAGTTAAGATATCTCTGCCCATGAACCCTGAACAGCATATGACTATCCCCTTTTAAAGTTCTTTACACACTTTGCTAGTATCTGCTGGTGTTGCTTTCACTTTGTAAGTTTTATGCATGTCCCTATTCAAAATCCCCCTCAAAGAACAAAATCAAAACACAAACACAAACCAGTATAAATAACAGTGCAACATAACAAAACAAATAGCATTCTAACAGCTTGGCAAGTGATGAATTCACCTGAGATTAAGTGATCTTTAGGTAGCCGACAACAAAACATTGTTTTGCAATAATAGTAGAAAGGTAAAAAATTATTAAAAGAAATCAAGAAGGTATACAATCTTGACAAAGTCTCTTATTAGTTTCCTTGTGTTATCTCTTCCCCCTCCCCCCCCCATATATCTGTTGCTTGTCTACTACAGCCAGCTGCAAAACATACAGCAAGGATTGACTTTGAAGGCATGTGATGTTTGTAAATAAATCCACAATAGGATCCAAGTTGAAGAGGTGATACATGATCAGCCTACTAGGACAATTCTGAGCATGTGCATATGCAGGTAAAGTCCAGGCTACATAAAATTACAAAAAAAAAAAAAAAAAAAAAAAAAGGGTCAGGGCATTTGTCAGTCTTTATCATCTTTTTTTTTTTTTGTTAAAGTTTTCTTACAACATGGTTTGAGTGTTTTGAAACACGTGACTGTATGCTAGTAAGGCTGCTCCTAGTATGTGCCACTATTTAAGGGAGAGGGTCACAGGTTTTCAAGCATGTGGAGCAGTCCTATGATGTGCTATAGACATCAAAGCACGATCAGAGGTTCTTTTCATTTATTCACTGTACAGGCAAGAGCAATAACATTTCCTTTAAAAGCAAGTCTCCACTATGACACCTTGATCTTCAACATGGCAGGTGTGATTCAAAACCCATGTCAAGTCACCTTTTTATGGATTCCTTCAACAAGAGGGGCAAGATGGTATCTCATCTGTGGGCTGATCTGGGTTTGGATCAATCTAACCAAAGGAAAAAGAAAAAAAAAACAACCAACCAAAAAAACCCAGAACAACAACAACAAAAAAATAAAGGCCACAATAACCCAGTGCATTTTAGAATCAATTGCTAGAAATAAAAATAAAAAATCACAAGTAAAAGAAAATTATAATGATATGTGGCATTTTGAGTCCAAAGGTTATTGAAATAATTGAAAAACTTCTATTTAGAACAAACTTTGGATAAACATTAATAGAAATATTAGATACAGTGGAAGTCTTTAAACTACAGGTTGATGGTAATTTAAGGATAAGCATGAATAACTACTACAAAACTTAAACAATTTCTCCTTTACTCACACAGAAGTCTTTTGAATTATCTGATTTATACAAAAAAGATGACTTGACACATATCACTAGAAAGATAATCAGGAAATATTTATTGAGAGAAGCAGAGAAGTTTTGCTTGAAAAGGCAGAAACTTATCAATAAAAAAATTATTCTACTTTTAAAGTAGTTCTCAAATATCCTTCAAAACTTCATATGAACTTGAAAAAGTTCATATGTTCTAAGCCTTAACTCTTCTTCCTCTCTATAGGAGAAAGAAAGGGTACAGCCTGATAACTTAGGTCTCAAAAACTGGATGGTAAGAATAGTTTAACTGTACATTGCATCTTTTGGACAGTTAACTTCATATAGCCTTTTTTTGTGTTTCAACCCGGGGGGGGGGGTGTTGTGCTACACAGTGCTATTTTCTTAAAGTGGGTAAATTCAGACAAACTTTGGCCAGAGGACACTTTTTTTCATTTGTACTATATCATTGCTTTTTCTTGAAAAAGACAAACATGAAAAGCTTTGAAATTTGCATCTCAGTCATGGTTATTCAGTGGCTGCATTTTTAGTTCTGTAAAGGCCAAAAGTGTGTCAGAAAAGTAATAAATTAATACCAATACATCACTTTTCTACATGAAACTTCTGAAAGCCCTACATCCACAGAATTTAAACACACACGCAAAACAGTTTAGTAGTTGCTAAAACAATCAGTGACAAACAGTATATAAATCATCATATTCTGACAGATATACCTACTTCCGAATATAGGGGAGGAGGCAGAAAACGAAACTCGTGGATGTATGCAAATAATGGTCCTTGCAGCGCTCTCTGAAAATCATCAAAAGCAGCTACAGGTGCAAGACCAGACTGTATATTTTCCTCTGTGACCACTTCTGCATAGCTAGGAGGTGCTGGAGGGAAAAGGTACATGTAGTTCAAACAACAAGTTCTTATGCATGACAAAATACATAACATGATAAATACTAAACTTCAATCACTGAAAGATTCACCAGCAGATAAATTATGTCTTTAAAATTGTTAAACAAAAATATTTTGTTTTATTCTAATATTAAATATGTTTAAAACCAGACTGACCACTGTTTATTGTGGCTTAATTATTCCTTTAAACTTTAAATCATACCAAAGATAATTTATTTCTGTAGAGCTAGGAATAAGAGAACATTGTAGTCCTCTGCACTCCAAAAGTCTCCAGGTCCAGGATTTGTACTTAAAAAAGCAGGATATTAGATATCCAAAAAGAAAAGAAAGGAAATACATAATTTGGCCATAAGAGATTTCCCATGGAAAAGAATGTTATCTTTTCACAAAGTCTTGGCTACTAAGGCTGGGGAGAGATGCCAGAAACTGCTATTATGGGTTGAAATGCCTTATAACCAAGGATGCAATTGGGATACCGTAGAAGTAATGAAGTTGTGCACAGATACAATGGTATCCTGTGCTTTCATTTTTGCCACTTTCCAAGGCAGTTAGATTTCACTGCCTGTCCTAGAGACAGAAAGGCAGGATGGGAAGAAACACTGTTCTTCTACACAGAACAAGCAGTTGTAGAAACAGATTTCCTGTAGGTTTTATTATAAAAGGATGTAGTTTGACTCTGTTAGCAAGACTGCAATGAATAAAGCAGACAAAAATCAAAAGAGACTAGCAAATTGATTGGGATTTGTATTGTCAAGTTACCTTCTAGTCTTTCAGGCAGTGTCAGACCAAGCCAGTTCATGTTCATGCTACCCTGGCTGCTTACACTCGATGTTCTGCTACCAAATGGATGTAGAGGAATGGTACCAATGACCAATGGTAAGTTAAGGAATAAATCCATGGCTCCTGGAATATCAACATATACCTGAAGAAAAATGAAACAAGTGTATTATTAAAACATGAGGTTTTATTAGCATTTCATAAGTATTAGTCTAAGTTATCTTTCTATGAAAGTTTTCACGAGGAGTTTGTTTCCAATAGTACATTTTAGGGCCCATGCCCCATGCCCCTCTGGAGACATGAGCTCTTCAAGTTGAGTCTTCATGTGAGCCCTCACATGGAAATGCAGTCTACTCATTAAATGCTTGCTTAGTTGACAGACAACTGTTTTAAGAACTTGCACAATTTAAACTAAATTTACTTACCAGACCTCCTGTCACAACATTATTGTATTTCTTTCATAACTAATGATCACAAAATGCTATGCTAGACATTTGTATGGCACGTTGGAAGCTACTCTCTCTCGCAAGTGAAACAGACCACCCAACATACCATGAGTGAGTACTCCACACGGATTATACTACAGTCAAGGATTGAAGGGGAAACAGGTGGAATTTTCAACTGTTTGCCATTCCAGGTTTCTGTTTTGCCAGATGACAAGGATTCCCCGCGGAGGTTGGCAACAAGCTGTTTGACTTCCTTCATTTTCCCTTTAGCATAGAATGCCTGTGTTTGGTAAATGGTTGCCTTTGGCACCACCATACGAGAAGAGCAATTCTCAATCTCAGCAAAGATCTGAATTGATTCACCTGAAACCAAAAAAAAAAAAAAAAAAACAAACCAAACAAACACATCAGAATTTCAAGTTCTCTTTATATTTACAAGGCAGTTTAAGTAAACTTCCACATTTTTTATACTGTTATAATGATGCTGCTACCACCGCTCTACCTGAAAAACTCCCACATCCACTGATGCTAATAGAAACAAGATCCCCATGAGCTGTTCTCAAAGGAAAAAGAAAAAACCCAACACACACAAAAAAATACCAGTCTAATAGATGAGGTCCTTGAACAATCTAGAGATACAAGTAGCGCTGTCTTAGGAAACAGAGTATACTGAGAAGATTGCTAAATGCAGACTGATGTGGTAAAAATATCCTTAATGTTTCATTTATATAAAACCAGTAAGTATGGACTCTAGCTTTAAAAAGGAAGAAAAGACATATCCTATAATTAATTCTATCACATACCTGGGGTGTAGCCCTTTCTTTCAATTTTGGCACTTAAAGATATTGGGCCTGAGGTACAAAGCCAGCAACATAGAGTCTTTTCTTTTGTGCCTGCTTGGGGTGACTGCAAGAAGAGGAAAAGTATTGTCCATCAAATTAGGAGCTCCATGAATCCCTTCAGGTATTTAAAGCAACACAGGAAAATAATAATTTTCATAATGTGTTTATTATTACATATTTTGATAAACAAAGCTACTTTGATAGGAAAAGTCTCAAGCAATTTAAACAGTATTATGTAGATACAAAGTTTGTCCTAATTCCACTGCTGTATTAGTATTGCTTTTTCTGCAATCCTCCACACTACAGACACAATTAAAACAATACTAAAAAAAAAAATACTGTATAGCTTAAAACAAAAGGCTTCATAGCCTACACATCTCAACATAATGCTGCAGAGCTTTTCATTTAACTAACAGTAAATAAGAACATCTTCACACTTTCCATTAAGCTGCATTTCAGAAAAAAAAATAACTAAGTTAAACTACTGTAATCTTGACTCCTGCTATTTCCTCTGTTTCTGAACGATCCTGTTTCATCTATGTTACGAAGACTTATTTTACACAACACCAGGATGTAGGGCTTGATCGAAAGCCTATTAAAGTCAAATGAGAGACCTTCAATTTTCACGGAGTTTGTGCAAGGTCCTTTTGCAAGTCAATTTTTTGCCCATACACACAAGAAACCTGTTTCAACGGACTTCTAAATTTTTTTCCCCTCCAGATTAAAATTTGAGAAAGGGATAAAATAAAGGATTATTAGGTCAGACTTAAATCAAATCCTCACTGGGAGCAGTTGAGGTATTAAAGTTATTTTAATAAAAGGAAATTTCAGGAAAGGATTATACAGAACTGTGGTAATTTCTCCCCATCAGTAGAAAAATTATCCATATGGAAATTATCAGTTATGCACTGCAGCAAATTTTTTTACTTTGCATTTTTAAGTTAGCAGTCCCTCACTAAAATATTAAGACTTCTGTTGTTCTTTCATAGATTATTCTTTATTTATAATTGAAGAGGAACAGTTCACCAAATTTTCTTCCTTAATGAGAGTCTACAATTTAGCGGTATCAGTTTAGATTGACAAATGCATTTTATGTTTTGCAAAAAACAAGCAGCTCCAAGTGTAGGATAACTTAGCCTTCAAAATGCCAGCAATTGAAGCCTTGTTAAACTGATATAACACTTAAAAGAAGAGCTGTACTTAAACTAGCAAATAAATATTAGGTAAAGTTGCATGTTGATGTTGTTTCGGTTATTATACTTTATTTTTATGCCAGAAAAGGAATGAGGAATTCTGTCAGTTCTTACCAGTAACGAAGGAGTGTTGATATCTATATGTTCGAAGACTGTAAATTCCTTCTTTAATTTTACTGGCAGAAGCCAAGGCCTATGCAATTCAGCTTTCACCCA